AGTCATTAGATTTAATATTATTAATAAGCTTTTTAATTTATTTAATAAAATGTGATGTATCAGAAGTGACGATATTATTTATAAATACTAAATTAACAGATACTATAATACCAAATATGAATTGATATAAACTATTAAATCTCTTAAAATCAAATACATTGACACAACTAATTCTAGTTATCTTGTTAACTAATAACTATATAATAAAACCTATTTAGTCTTCAAGAGCCATATATACATCTTTAACTACATTTTTTTATTATATCTAAATATATGTAATGCCAATTTTGCATATTATTTGTCATATTTTACAGGTCAAAAACAATATGAATTATCTTATTAGTAACTTATTGTAATAATACTAAATTTTTACATGTTTGAGATTTCTGTACATCAAAAATATATTTTATAAAAATTTAAATTTAATTTGAAAAAATAATTCAATTTAAAAATGATAATGATATTTTTTTTGGGCATAGGAACTAATTTGGCATGGGCATGGGGCATGAGCATGGTACTTGTGCCTGGCCTAAAAGTGCCAGGCATGTTTTGAAGCACCAGTATTTGACGTGCCACTAGCACTAGTGCTTGGCATGGTTCCTAATATGCTGGCATGGGCATTTGCAAAACCCTACAGGTGATGTACATCAATTATTCCAAAATAAGTAATATGGAAATGTCTACTAAATTTTTTTAATTAATGTTTCTATATTACTTATTTTAGAATAATTGATGTACATCATCTGCATCACTTATAAACAAACGGTAAAAATCATAAAAATATTGGCCAACTTCGTAGACTAGATTATTTAAAGATTTATTTTTAATGACCTTTGAAATTTCACAGAAAGAACCTTATAATGTTAGAGGATTTATGAACTTATACCTGGAAATTAAACTGACAGCTTCTTTTTTGATTAAATAATCACAGAAAGCAAATCTATAATACAAAATTTTAGATGTTCCATCATCCCAGTATCACGTGCCTATTTACGGTGATATGTGGTATTTATAATATATAATAATATTTTGTTACACTGAAATATACTGTAGTAAAATGTGTTTGTTACACTAAAGTTATGGTAACATGATTTTGATACCCGTGAATATATGTATATTTAAAAAGTGAATAGAAAATATAAAACTTCAAAGCTAAAACTATTTAGAAATCTCACTTAAGTCGAAAACAGAATTCTAAGGCAATTCAAATTAATATTGGTTCTAAAATTCGATATATCATAAAATCTTAATTTTAAGATAGATAAGTTTACGATGTTGAGTTGATGCTAATATAAATAATTTAAAATTTAGAATAGAGTGAATTAATCTTTAAATAAATATATGGGAATTAGTCTTTAAAAATAAATAAGCGAGTTAATCTTTTAAATAAATAGAGCGAATACTGTACAGATTTAAGTATCGCAGATTCTTTAGCAGCTGGAAGCAATATGAAAAAAATTTAATAGACTACTATGTTATTCCAACTCATGACCAAATAAGGCAATTGAATTAATAGATTTATAAAGTGATCACTAAAGTCATGATTAGGTATTTGATAGATAAATAAATATATGTCATATAATAATACATGAAATGTTTTAAGAACATAACTGATTTCAACTGTGACACAATAAAGAGTTTATTTAAAAAGTTTAGTTTAAATAAGAATTTTAAATTAAAAATTGAAACAAAAATACAGTAAGATAGTTTTATAAATAATAATAATAATCAAATAAAATTTATAGTTTATAGCTTTATAAATAATAAGAATTACATGTTTAAATAAATATTTTGCTTCTTTTAAATATATACACTTAACTTATTCTTAGGATGGTCCTGATAACATAATTCAAGAGGTCTGCTGTATAAATAATGAGTTTAATATACAGTATTTTTTAATCAATTTTTAATCAATATGATTAAATCAATACCTATATTGATGAGTATTCATAAAATGCACTTGCTCTATAGCAGCCATAACTATAAGTAATAGAAGTTTAAGTAATTGGTGTTTTGTGCACGTGTTTTTCTCGCGTTCATTCTCTCGCATTTGCTATCTTGCATTTACTATCTCACTTTTACTATCTCATGTTTACTATCTCATGTTTACTATTTTACTTTTACTATCTCGCATTCACTCTTTTGCTATATTAAAGTTGGCAGCAATAATTATAACATGTCTTCTGAAATAACTAAAATACAAACACCTAATAATATGTCTTTCGAATTAAATATGCCTGATAATATGTCTTTTGAAATAAATACATCCTATAATAATATGTTTTTCGAATTAACTGAAGATACAACCAATGAATTAGCTGAAATAGAAATAGTTAATATGTCTTTTGCAATAGCTGAGACAGAAATGTCCAATTATCGGTTAGAAAATCCAGAAATAACAAGAGAAAGTTATTCCCGAAAAATGGTACCAAAAACTACTTACCTTGCAGGTAGAACAACTAAAAGTGCACATGAACGTAGAAATCATCTTAGAAGAGAAGCTTATGTATGCAAAAAGGTCACCCACTCCAATGAGCATATTTTACAGTGATGTTCACGAGATCGAGAAACTTATGCAAGATGGATGGCTGCTGAAACTATGGAACAAACTGAAGAATGAAGAGCAAAGTGCAGAAAAATAAATAGTTATGCTTCTTATAAAGCCCGTTTGGATCAATATAACAGTAGTGTTGTACCATTGCATAATTTGGGTTTTATGAATGTTAAATGTCCACATTGTGGTG